CTTTGTTGCTTTCACCTCCACTTTTTTTTTTCTACTAGAATCTGGTATTGACCTCCCCTTTCTATAAATGCTAACGTACGAAATAAAAATATAACTCTAGACAAAAAAATGGCTTTATCCTCAAATCATTTAGCTTATATCGTCCAAAACAATGACATAAAAGCGAGCACTTCAATTATACACAGGAACGTTGACATAAAGATCAATGCTGTTAGCGAACTAGCTTTTGTATCTCGTTGCAACTTGCAAATCCCTTACTGTTGAATGATGCAACGCTTGCGTGGTCCATAGAAAAATAATGTAGAGAAGTAAATGAGAGCCAACAGAACCTCTATTGATCTCTGTGAACGAATATGTATTACATGAGGTTGCTATCTTCAGCAACCGTTCCTAGTCTACACACGACGTGTGCTGGTGGAGAACGTGGTGACCACGCACGCTGGCGCCTGTCCGCGCTCCTGCAGTTACCGAGTCAGTCGTCTTGGCATGTATCCGCAACAACCCCCTGAGCCGATGGGTGATCGGCAGCACACAAAGACTGGAACGGAAACTCTCGAACGATGCCGTCGGTAGACCTTTCGTCATGACGTCCACGAACTGTTCACCTGTCGGAACGTGGAGGACGCGCAGTTCGCCCAGTTGAACTCGTTCTCGCACAAAATGAATGTCGAGTTCAATGTGCTTGATGCGCTTGTGGTGAACTGGATTCAATGACATGTATACTGCGGAGACATTGTCACAGAACACCACCGTCGCCTTCTTGATGCCACAATGGAGTTCACCGAGCAGCTAGCGTAACCAGATGCATTCGACGGCTATGTCTGCCACCGCCCGATACTCGACCTCCGCGCTTGATCTTGACACGGTGGGCTGCCGCTTGGATGACCAGGAGACGAGGGAGTCACCTAGGTAGACGTAGAATCCCGACGTCGATCGCCGAGTGTCGAGGCAGCCCGCCCAGTCCACGTCTGAGTACGCGGTGACGCTGAGGTCAGAGGAGGCGCGAAGCAGGAGTCCGTGCGATGTCGTGCCACGGACGTACCATAGAATACGCTTGAGAAGCGCCATGTGCGGTGCGTGGGGATCATGCAAGTGGAGGCAGGCTTGCTGGACGGCAAAGGCGATGTCAGGCCGCGTCGTCGTTAAGAACTGAAGCGTGCCTGCTAGACTGCGGTATGACGTCGCGTCGTTCATGGGTGGGCCGTCGGCGACGAGCTTGTTCTTGGCGTCGATTGCTGTAGAGGCGGGTTTGTAGTTCGTCATCCCGGCGCGATCGAGGATGTCTTCAGCGTACCGCTCTTGAGAGAGGTAGAACCCGTCCTTGGTGCGCTTGATGTCGATCCTGAGAAAGAAGCGCAGCGCCCCCATGTCCTTGACGGCGAATTCGGCACGGAGGCAATCGACAATGTGCTAGAGCAAGGCCGAGCTGGACCTAGTGAGCACAATGTCATCGACGTAGAGGAGGAGATATGCGATGTCCGTGCCGCGACGAAGGACGAAAAGGGACGAGTCAAATCGGGTTGCCTTGAAGCCGATCTTGGTGACAAACTCGGCGAACCGAGTGAACCACACCCTCGGTGCCTGACGGAATCCATATAAGGACTTGTCGAGCAGACAGACAGCGTCAGGGCGATCAGCATCGATGAAGCCCGTCGGCTGCTGACAGAGAACATGCTCATTGAGATGACCATGAAGGAACGCATTAGAGACATCGAGTTGCTTCATTGGCCACTGGTTAGATGCCGCGATGGCGAGGACAGTACGAATAGTGGCTGGCTTGACGGTAGGCGAGAAGGTTTCACTGAAATCAATCCCTGCTCGTTGGGTGAATCCGCGAACGACCCACCTCGCCTTGTAACGCTCTAGTGAGCCGTCAGGATTGAGCTTATGACGGAACACCCATTTTCCACTGACAACGTTGGCACCCGGTGGACGATCAACAAGGCGCCAAGTTTTGTTGCGCTGGAGCGCATCAAACTCAACCGCCATGGCTGCCCTCCAGTTAGGATCTTTGAGAGCAATCCGAGCTATAGCAGGAAGTGGAGAGATCGTAGGCGCGGAGGATGAGGCGCCGGCGTGCAGAGCGTACCATGGGTTTGGTTTGAAGATGCCTACCTTGGAATGAGTCTGCATTTGGTGACTGTGGGCCGACGCCGCGGGTACGGTGTCGGGAACAGGACTGTTGGACAGTGATGGTGCGGGAACTGAAGCACCAGAGGATGGTGCGGAAGGTGTGGGTGTGGCACCAGACGCAGCAGGCGATAGAGAAGCAGGAGAAGGTGGTGGTGGGTGAGGTGCGCTCTGCTGAAGAATGACAGGCTCGTCAGTTACTATAGCCGGTCTGGCTATTGTCGGCTGACAAAGCTGAGATTCAGAACGAAAAGGGAACTGGGTTTCATCAAAAACAATGTGGCGAGATGTGATGACATGACGTGTTTGCAGGTCAAGACATCGGTATCCACGGTGATCAGACGGGTAGCCGAGAAGAACACACGGCGTGGATCGAGCGTGGAGCTTATGCGGTGCTGTTGAAGCTTGATTGGGATAGCACAGGCACCCGAAAACCCTTAGATGATTGTAGGATGGTGGGGCGCCGAGGAGAAGCTGAAATGGAGTTGTCTGACCACTGGCCCGACAGGGACGATGATTCAGAAGATGGGTTGCCGTGGACAGCGCCTCCACCCAATATGCATCAGGCAAGCCAGCATGAATGAGAAGACTACGAACGCAGTCATTCAGTGTTCTAATGATGCGCTCGGCTTTGCCATTTTGATATGAAGTGTAAGGACAAGAGAGGCGCAAGGTGGCACCATGGTGTTCAAGATGACGCCGAAAGGCTAAATTATCGAACTCTTTCCCATTGTCGGTTTGGAATGCAATGACTGGTAACTGAAACTGAGTATGAACATAAGCATGAAATGCAATGAGGCACTGAAAAACATCAGACTTGTTGCGTAATGGAAAAGTCCAGACATAGTGTGTAAGATCATCAATCAACACAAGGTAATACTTGAAGCCAGAGAAACTAGACACTGGAGAGGTCCAAACATCAGCATGAACAATCTGAAATGGGACATAGCTAACTGAACTAGAGTCTAAAAAAGGTAAACGCACATGCTTGCCAAGCTGACAGGCTTCACAAGTGGTTGGCTTGGTGGAGATGAACTCAAGGCGAGGAAGAGTCTGCTGCAGCGTGTGCCTTCCGGGGTGGCCTAAACGCTGATGCCAGAGCTCGACAGTGGGCGTGGAGGTGGCAGTCAGGGCCTCCGGCGGTGATGAGGCCAGAGGGTATAGCTCGCCATCGCTATTACAGCGGAGGATCACCGAACGAGTGGGAAGATCCTTGACAGAGAAACCGAAAGCATCAAATTCCACAGAGACATTATTGTCACGAGTTAAGGAACAAACTGAAATCAGATTCTTAACAAGTGATGGAGAGACAAGAACATTAGGGAGGGAAAGTGGGGATCGAGCAGTGGGGATTTGTGTGGAAGCACGATGAGTCATCGGCATCATGGCGCCGTTGCTGACGACAATAGGAGTGGAATTGTAAACTGGGGTGGAAGAGTTGAGTTTACCGGCGTTGCAGGACATGTAGGAAGAAGCGTCGGTGTCCATGAACCATTCGGTCGCTTGAGGAGCAGATGCTGTGGAATTTGTCGCGTTCAGTGCGGCGAGCAAGGCCTGATGGTTCCACGGATCCACGGAGGGTGGTGGCTGAGTGAGGCTAGGAGGAAGTGGAGACGACCCGGGGAAGTAAGCCTGGTGTGGTGATGTGCTGGGGCGCGGGCCGAGCACGCCAGCTCCTGGGGCACGAAATGGCATGGGCCATGCCTGCACCATGCCAGTCCACGGATTGAATCCGGGTGTCCAGGCCGTTGGCGGCCTTGGGGAGGAGAAACCGCCTGGAGATAAGCCGTGGCCACGACCGCGGCCACGACCACGCCTGTTGTCGTTGCGGTTAGGCGCGCCGTGAGCAGCAGCTGGTGGCTTGGCGACGGTTGTCGGCGCAGTGGAGCCGGAGTTGCCAGCCGTAGTAGAGCTTGAACTGCCTTCGGTGGCGGTGGGTGCGGCGGGACGAGGTCCACCGATGGCGCAGCGAGCGTCTTTGTGCCACCGCCTTGGCATGCTCCTTGTCGAAGCGCTCTTCCGAAGAAGGTATGAGCGCGCGAGAGGAAGGTGTCGCGCGCGGCCGCTTGGCGGTGATGGCGGGATGGCGTGGCGATACTTGGAGCTCAGCCGCGAGCATGTTCAGAGACTTGGCTCGTCTCTCCGATCGGTGGCCGACGCCGCGGAGCGCATCGGCGAAGTTGCTTGAGTCGTCCGGTGTCTTTGGGTGATGTCCATATCGCCTCGACCATGTTTCGAACTCGTCTCCGTGTAGACAACGCGATGGAGCTCGTTGTCGCGAATTGATCGTGGATAGCGCCCCGCACGCTGCTGATGACGCGGTCGCCGGATGGCGCGCACGATGTCGCGCACGTCCTTGGCGATGGAGTTGTACAGCCAACTCAAGATGCACTGATCAACCACACGCCAGTCGGGATCATGGCGCTGGTCGGCAGTTGGCGGAGATGAGACGTGGGAGGTGAGACCGAACTTGCCGAGGAAGGCATCGAAGAAGCATCGCCATTCGTCGTAGTTCGGCGTTGCGAGCTCGAGAACAACGGGAATGTGGGATTTGATGTTAACGGTTTGAAGTACTGCGGTGGGAGACGTGGTGGCAGGGGCAGCGTCGCCGACAGAGGAGGTGAAGGAGATTTCGGAGGTGTCGTCGGAGTCGGAAGAACCGAGACCGAAGAGGGGATTGCTGTCCATGGTTGGCATGGCGACAGCCGGGGAGAGGCAGCGGAGCGGAGGGAAGAAGACGGCGATGTAGCGAGGGATCAACCCGAGCTTGCTGATACCATGTAGAGAAGTAAATGAGAGCCAACAGAACATCTATTGATCTCTGTGAACGAATATGTATTACATGAGGTTGCTATCTTCAGCAACCGTTCCTAGTCTACACACGACGCGTGCTGATGGAGAACGTGGTGACCACGCACGCTGGACCCTGTCCGCGCTCCTGCAGTTACCGAGTCAGTCGTCTTGGCATGTATCCTCAACAAATAACAATAATAATAGAGCAGGAACATGTAGATCACCAACGGTGTGGGCTCTGTCCATTCATCAACAATGATCCTATCACGAACAGCGGTTGATGTGACACTGTACCTGACAACACGGCCATCAATGTGGAATCCGCTGCCCTCCGGCTGCACGACCACGCCGGGCGCCGTGGCCGGCCCGGTGAAGGGCGGGCCGAGCTTCTCCGCCCGGTAGTCCGTGCCCTCGGCCTTGGGCACCGGCTCCACCACCCTGTCCCGGTACCCGACGATGGCCACGCGTCCACCACCAGCGTCACGCCCTCCAGCGGCCGCGCGTAGAAGTTGGTCGACCCGGCGGTCACGAAGCACTGCATCTTCGCCATCGCCACCCTGCCGCCGCCGTAGGACGGCTGGGCGGCGCCGAACCACCCCCTGGAGATCACCCCGCAGCCGACGTCGCTGACGTTCAGCCCGCGCCGCCGCACGGAGTCCACGAAGGGAGGGTGCGCGGGCGGCAGCGCCATTGCCGCGACCTGGTCCTCCGTCGTCATCATCGGGAAGCCCGCGCCGCGGTGGACGGCGTGCGAGAGGACGGACGGCGCGGAGGCGTCGGTGACGTCGACGAAGAGCTCGTGGGACTGGCCATCGGCTCGAGCGATGACGAGCGCGCGCCGCGGGAGGAGGGGCCGTGGAGGCGCCGGCGCCGGCGCCGGAGGCGTAGGAGAGGACCTCCGGCTTCTCGGGCTCGTCGAGGCCGACGTAGTGGAAATAGAGCGGGCGGGCGGGGACGAGCGGAGAGGCAAGCACGGCTGCGCGGACAGCCGTGAGCTCTGCGGCAGAGGGTGGGTCGAGCGGGTGGGGATGGGAGGACGCTGCTGCCACCGCAGTGGACACCAAGAGGACAGCGAGGACAGCAAGCATCATTGCGACTTGCGAGGAAGCCTCAAGCCTGTAGTCCAAACCCAATAATGGTTGATGAGCTGATATAGTAGTGACATCGACATGAGCTTTCCTCCGATCCGGTTTGGTGCACTCGCCACGCCTAAGAGCCGCACCAGTTTTTTCACTCTTCCTGCTACACAGCCGTGTGTTTTATATAATTTAAACATATAATTTTTTTAGCACTGTAGAATTAAGATTCAACAGCCTTCATCTTTCGTCTACTTTTAGCCTCCAGCCTTCTTCTACTTCCAAAAAAATCACAAATCACAAGATCACAGGTCACAGGAAATAATTTTTTTGAGTCTGTCTACTACACAACCATTTGTTTTATGTAGTTTCAACACATAAATTTTTTAGCACCATAGAATTAAGATCCAACAGCCTACGTCCTTCTTCTACTTTTCGGCCTACACCATTCTTCTACTTCCAGCCTACACCTTTCTTCTATCTCCAGACAATCATAAATCATATGATCATAGATCACAAGAAATATTTTTTTTCTATAGAAGGACAAATCACATATCGCAGAAGTGTTTATGTATTCGTTATGACACGTGGGCCCTAAACGTCATAGATATAAAAAAATTCTTATATTTTTTTGTGTAAAATACATGTGTGTTGTATAGCATTTTAGTTTTTTTTACAGAGTACGTGCAAAAGCAATCTCTCCCGGGCCGAACTACTACATGGGCGCAATCCCGCCTACAACCCGAATTACGAGACGTCGAGGGGCGGTTCACGGTTGCGTCACGCGGAGTCGCGGAGGCCCGATGCGGGACGCCGCCACGCCTGTTCTGTGGAGTCCGATCATGACCGTGCGTCTGTGTCAACTGTCAAGAGGTTTGCTGCGTCTCATCATAAAAAAAAAGAGGTTTGCTGCAGGACTCAAAGTGGGGCGCGTAACCTGTGCGGTTTCAGGGTTTGTCCCTGCGTGGCAGCGAGCCAGCCAGCCAGCCCCATCGATTTTTTTTATTTTTAACACTTTTTTAAACTATTTTAAATTCTAACACTGTTTTTTTTCTTTCAAATCTAACATTTTTTGTCGCGCCTATTACTACGGCGTGGGCAAACAACGCTGCCGCGCCATGCATGACGGCACGGCAGTGACGATGACGTGGCACTTCCACGCGCCATGGCCGCTGACGTGGCAGGAACAGCCGCGCCGCACATCTTGACGCGGCAGTGCCGCGCCACGTCCCACGGCGCGTCCCTCAAATGTGTTCTAGCTTGGTTGCCGTAACGATGGTCTGTTCTCCGTTCAATGTACCTATTTTGAAACTTTGTATCTCACTTCTATGTTGTTGTACTTGTCCTATTAAATTTTATCTCTGGTTCCAATGCCGCTGCATATACTGTATCACATCTTATCGATTTATCGTGACTTGACATAGCACTGCGTTGCTGACTCTAGTTTCGTAGCCCTGAACTATAGGCCATGCCGCTTTGCTCTGTTACACAAAGACTGGTCATACCGTCTAATCGGAACCAACTTTTTACAGTTTGAGACGACGTGCGTGTAGATGCAGCTATACCAAATTATTTGTACTACTAGTATATGAATTGTGCTACATAAGGAACCGCTGTATCCCCATCCAAAAGACGTACAATGTGGGTTTTTACAATACTCACCCTTCTTTTTAGTTTTCCATGTATTCAAACCACTGGATAGTTGACAGTGGACATCCGTCGAGAGTAGCTTGATGGTCTATTGATTCATCTTTTTATATTCGTCGTTAGGATCATTTTTTAGCTGATTTCTTAACTACTTTATTTGATACTTATCTCTTCTAATAGTTCAACATACGCTAGAATGTTACTCCGTATATTTCTTTGATCGTCATGTTTTTCACTGTTCACCATACCTAACTTTTTTTATTTCCTAGTTCAACTTTTTTAGAGTACATGGTACTGTTCATTTCCTGAATTTTATATTCGCCGTTGTTACACACATCTTTTAGTACTACTTTAGAGTTGGCCGCGGACCTAGCCTCCCCATTTCGTGTTCGCTTTACATTTTGAAATCGAAGCATTGTAAGAATAAGGCTAGAATCCAGGCACAAAATCGAGGCAAAGATTGAGGCCGTAAAACGAGTCGAGGCGGTGGCCGTTGACCGGTGTGGAGCCCATATGAATAAACAATTCGGTAGCTGTATGCAGCTGTGGACCCGACACAGATCTCAGCATACTCTGGACCGTTAAGATACGCTCCACGGGCGCTCATACGTAAGGTTTTTTCGGACTGTGATTCTTCCTGTGCCCTCCAATCTAATCGCGTCCTTGGCTGCTCCACTGCTACAGTGTATATACAGACACGGACACGGTTGCCTGCAGACAGGAGCAGGGGAGTTAGTGTGGTTGATGGGGGTGCATGCAACCGTGTCCGTGTCTGTATATATACTGTAGCGGTGGAGCAGCAAGGACGCGATTGGATTGGAGAGCACAGGAAGAATCACAGACTGAAAAAACCTTGCGTACGAGCGCCCGCGGAGCCTATCTTAACGGTCTAGAGTACGCTGAGATCTGTGCCGGGTCCACAGCTGCATACAACTACCGAATTGTTTATTCACATGGGCTCCACACCGGTCAACGACTGCCTCGACTCGTTTTACGGCCTCAATCTTTGCCTCGATTTTGTGCCTAGATTCTGGCCTCATTCTTACATTGCTTCGGTTTCAAAATGTAAAGCGAACACGAAATGGGGAGGCTAGGTCCGCAGCCAACTCTAAAGCAGTACTAAAAGATGTGTGTAACAACGGTGGAATATAAAATTCAGGAATTGAACAGTACCATGCACTCTAAAAATTTTGAACTAGGAAATAAAAAAGTTAGGTACGGTGAACAGTGAAAAGCATGGTGACCAAAGAAATATACGGAGTAACATTCCAACGTATATTGAACTATTAGAAGAGATAAGTATCAAATAAAGTAGTTAAGAAATCAGCTGAAAAATGATCCTAACGACGGACATAAAAAGATGAATCAATAGACCATCAGGCTACTGTCGACGGATGTCCACTGTCAACTATCTAGTGGTTTGAATACATGAAAAAAACTAAAAAGAAGGGTGAGTAGTGTAAAAACCCACATTGTACGTCTTTTGGACGGGGATACAGTGGTTCTTTATGTAGCACAATTCATATACTGGTAGTACAAATAATTTGGTACAACTACATCTACACGCACATCGTCTCTGACTGCAAAAAGTTGGTTCCGATTAGATGGTATGACCAGTCTTGCGTAACATAGCAAAGCGGCATGGCTTATAGTTCAGTGCTACAAAACTAGAGTCAGCAACGCAGTGTTATGTCAAGTCACGATAAATCGATAAGATTGGATACAGTATATGTAGCGGCATTGGAACAAGAGATAAAATCTAATAGGACAAGTACAACAACATAGAAGTAAGATACAGAGTTTGAAAAAAGTACATTGAACGGAGAACAGACCATCGATACGGCAACCAAGCCAGAACACATTTGCACAACATGACAAAGGGACGCGCCGTGAGCCGTGGCGCGGCACTGCCGCGCCAAGATGTGCGGCGTGGCAGCTCCTGCCATGTCAGCGGCCATGGCGTGTGGAAGTGCCACGTCATCGTCATTGCCGCGCCGCTATATATGGCGCGGCAGCGTTGTTTGTCCGCATCGTAGCAATAGGCGCAGCAAAAAATGTTAGATTGAAAAAAAAACAAATAATATTAGAATTAAAAATAGTTTAAAAAATATTAAAAATAAAAAAATTCACCCCATCGAGGCATCGAGGCAATGAAGCCGGGAGCCAAAATCGGAAGCAAAGAAAGGTGAGGCGGGATCTGGCGCGGGGCAAGCTGGTGATCTCAGGTGGCTGCTCCTTATTAGCGACGAACAGCTGCACATGTATCAGCTGTGCTAGTACCCGAATGTCGGGCTAGCATGGCCCCGTCCGAGTCTATAGTCACGTTGGTTTGGCATATAAGTCGTATTTTTTCATTTAATAAATAGTATTTTTCTATCTTAATAAATTAATCAACAGTATTTTTAGTCATGGCTTATTAGCCAAGTGAACAAGACATATATTTCGCGCGCCCAGACGACGCCCGCACTGCCAAACCACGCACACAGACCGCGCACGCTCCCTCCATTTCTCACGCGCATTGCAACATGTGTAACACCCGATCTACTTTTGCAACATCCAGATAAAACACTTACAACATGCGTCCGAAACAACTGAAATATTTACAACATATATCTGAAACTCATGCAAACGCACCATAAAAAACTTAAAAGCACATGTGTAGCCACTGCAAACATATGCAAACATCAAGATAAAACACTTACAACATACGTCGATGAAACATTTAGAACATAAACATATGTGTATACCCCATAGCCACATGTGCAGCATCCTGATCTACTTTTGCAACATCCTTATAAAACACTTGCAATTGCAACATACCTCTAAAACATCTGAAATATTTGAAATATACACTTGCAACATGCATCGTATCTCAATGCGGCCTCCTTTGCCATTTGCATCGGGGCACCGCAGCCGTAGCAGGAGGCGAGACCGGGGGGCTTTCGCGCTAGGGCCCAACGCTTCTCCTTGCGCAGCGGCCTCAGTGGCTAGTTGGTGGCTGAGGGAGCGGTCGCCATGCGTGGCTGTGGCGGTGCTCGCGTCGTCAGGCGAAGCGGGCCGCAGAGCATAAGTAGCGGCAGGAAAGCAATGGGGCGGCGGGAAGGAGCAGCGCGGGATAACCGTCGACGACGGAGCGGGCTGCAGAGCAGGAGTAGCGGGCGGCCGACGGAGCAGGAGCAAGCGGGACCACCGTCAACGTACGGAGAAGGTCCCTCGTGTCCTTCTCGTTTCCTTATCCAACAGGCGCAATCCAAGACAGATGCGGATAGCATAATAAAAAAACGAGCCGACGCAAAGTAGAGGTTTATGGAGCTCGTATGCAAACCCACGAAGCAACGTTCGGACTGACGAATGCCCTACTAGCATTT